AAGTCGTTCTTGTTCTCATTGCCTTTCCTTTAATCTGCTTTCCGTGCGGAAAGCCGGGAGATTAGCAGTTTGATCTGATTATATCCCTGTTAAAATTGTCCTTCTGAGTTACAGACCCTGTCGGCAGGCTAAAGTAGAGGGGCAGGGAAGCCAGGCAAACACCTCGATCTTATTCCTTCTTTTTTGTTGTAATACTTTCACATCATGCGAAATTTGTTTCTGCAAAGAGGTAGAAGAGTAGGGTGGGGATTGTTGTTTAAAATCCCTGCCCCCCCCCAGCCTTTAACATAAACCCGACATGCAGTTAGCGTGCCAGGGCTCAATGGCACAGCAGCAGAGGCCGGCGGAGAAGGTGGCAACCCGTTTGTGCGCATTAGGTTGCTGTTAAAGGCACAGAAGCAGAGTCAGGGAAAAAAGTTGGCAACCCAAGCAGCACCTTCGTAGCCTAGGCTCCGAGGGTGACTCCATGTTTCTGACAAACCTGCTGGGCCTCTAAGAGATTGTTAGGTGAAGCTTTTATTAAAATTGAAATATCTGAATCTATCCCTTGGCCGTCGAGAGGATGTTGAAGGCACCGACGCCCTGATAGTGGGGTTTCCCCCTTGTATGAGATCAGATGCCCTTTGTGGTGCAGAGGACAAAATGTCTGGATTCACAGTCTAATCCTATGCATATTTCTTCAACATGTTCGCCATCCTGAACAGGAAAGAGTTGGGTTCAATCCTCTACTACTCCATGTGTAGTCTTGGGCAAATCTGATAGCATAATGCGTTTATATGCATCAACGGGAGTTTGAATTTCTGCACCTTGGAGGAACGCGCTTTCCCCTCCAAGGAATCGCACTGAGACCTTTAACTGGAAAATCAGAAAGTTTATTTTTATTATGGGACAAGCACACTTGGATAGCAAAGAGTCTATCTATCTAGCTGGCAATCCAAGAGAGCCGCGCGTGCCTCTATATTCTCAGCAGAGAAATATCCAAGGGATCCTAAGAGGCTCGAAATAAGTGAGAAGCGAAACAAGAAGTGAAAGTTGCAACTAAGAATATCAGTCTAAAATCAAAGAAGGGGTCAGTCCAGAGAACCTCCTCATTCCTAAACTGTCACACGCACAACGTAGGACAGTTTAGGAATGGGGAGGGAGGTTCCCTTCTCCATCCGTTTTAACCCCGTGCAAACTTCTCGGCAAGTCGGGTTGCATCCCCACACTTCCAACATTACATTATTACTATTTTTCAACCTAACTAACCTCGCAGGCTGGTTGTGAGGCTAAGCTAAATAAATCCTAGACCCGAATCCTATTTCCAGAGCCAGGAGCATGAGACTCCCATCAGCCCCGGATCGGTCAGCATGTCCAATGGTCAGGGAGTTGTAATTCAGTAATTTACAAAGAACCATCCCTGCACTCGGGAGTGGTTCAAGTTGCTTTGAGCGTCTGCCACGCGCAGTAGCCCTTCCCGCTGGCTACCTGAACTACCTCTATGTCAGCCGGTCGCTAAGAACTAGGGCTGCGTTTGCTTCTTTCTTCTCCTTTCCCATCCCCCTTTCCTTACATGTTGTGCCCTTCAGATTATAAAACTGGGAAGACCATCACCCTTCTTCACGGCTGATCCCTGGTAACCTGCTGTTGCGAGGCATCCTGTCCCTGATCCTAAAAATCGGATATAGCCATCTTGACTAGCGGTCAAGGGCTTGTGGATTTCATCAAAGCCTCTCTCTCTCTCTCTCTCCCACCCTCCTCTCCACAGCTCCTTTCCCGATAATCCGTTCACTAGGCTGGATTGCCAGGGATACTATAGAAGGAGCAGGGATTATTTTTCCGTCCGGGGTGGGGCGCATTTCCTCCTGAGCAACCTTCTAGGGTAATAATAATAATAATATTTATTTATACCCCGTCCTCCCCAGCCAAGACCGGGCTCAGGGCGGCTAACAACCAATAATAAAAACAAGTTGATTAAAATACAATTTAAAAAACAAGATTAAAATACAACATTAAAACATTAGGATGCAGCCTCTTCACAGGAGGAGAAAGGAAGAAGAAAGGGGGGAGGGAGAGAATCAAACTGATTCTAAGCCAAAGGCCAGGCAGAACAACTCTGTTTTACAGGCCCTGCGGAAAGAAATCAGATCCCGCAGGGCCCTGGTCTCAAGAGACAGAGTGTTCCACAAGGTCGGATCCAGTGTTGAGAAGGCCCTGGCTGTGGTTGAGGCTAATCTAACTTCCTTAGGGCCCGGGACCTCTAGGGTGTTGCTATTTATGCACCTTAAGGTCCTCCGTGGGGCATACCAGGAGAGGCGGTCCCGTAGGTACGATGGTCCTAGGCCGTGAAGGGCTTTAAAGGTCAAGACCAGTACATGGAAGGAAGCACATGCCAATTGGTAGGGGGGAGCAGAGGCAAAAGTGAACAGAGCAATGGATGCCAGGACCATGCACAGAAATGGGCATGCCTTGGTGCATGTGCAGAGTGCATTTTCCTCTGCAACCGCATTTCGTCCGGGATTTTTCTGTATATGCTGTATGAATATATGAACTGGAATACGATTGTGCCTGAAAGTTCTGCGTTTGTTCTTATATCTCTGATGGCCATTTCATGTGCATCAACTGACATTACAGTCATCTCGTGAAGGTGATACAACCCAGAGGGGCTTTGACGTCTGCGTAAGCTTCAGACCCAGCACCGAACGTGAAAGCCCTGTACCCTGAAGACATGGCAGGCAGGCTGTCCAACAGGTAAAGCATTTCCGTTACGCGCTCCCGTGGGCTGTAGTGGTTAGCGTGTCGGACTAGGGTGAGGGAGATCTAGGTTCAAATCTCCACTCAGCCAGGAAACTCGCTTGGGCATCTCTCATCCTTTATACAAACAGACAAGCAAACCTTGCCTTGACTCGCTTGCCCTGTTGATTTCAATGCAAGAGCTGCCCGATCCTATTCACGTTTCCTGCGAGGTAAATCCCACTGAGTTCAACAGTGCTTGCTCCCAAGTAAGTGTGCCTATTGGACTGCAGCCTTAAGCGCAATTAGCTGCAGCTGGGTCGACCAGGGGCCAGGTCTCTCCCCCTGCCAGCCGGCCTGGGAATCAGAGAGATAATCTAGCTAATGAACTCGTTTAAACGCTCCCAGGTGACCCTCTCCCTCTCAGCCGGACTGATCTTTGCTGTGCAGGAAAGCACCGCACTCTCCCCAGGGCGCATGCGCCCTCCTCACACCATTTAATCAATCTTACAAAGGGGAACTTAAATCTCTCGTTTCTGCCTTCTGTTTAGATATTCTTCACATTGACCGTTTTCTCGAAGAAGAAAATTCTCGATCGTGTAAATTTCTCATCGCCTTTGAAATTGAGTGCCTCTTGAAAGGTTTAGGCGTTCAAGACATTTTTCTTCTGTTGAATCCTAAGTTTTATTAATTCGGGGAGTGGAGGTGGGGGCTTGATAGATGACCCCCTCCTATTTCATCGTAATTTCATTATGTGGGTTAATCATGGGGAGGGTTGCTGCTGTCATTGATATTATATATATATAATCTTCATACTGGGCCCCTGGTTCTCTCACAGGTCCGATCCTAAACCCATTATTAATTTGACGGAGGGGAGAGCATTGATTTAAGTGGAAATGAACCTGAGAGGCATGTAATGAATTCTACGTAACGAAGGTTGCCAACTTTTCAAGCGGGCCCTGATGCTGGGCCTTTAACGGCACCACAATTGCAACAGTTGGCAGCTGGTAAGGTTTTTTATTTCCGTGCCGTGCAAACCGTCCTCTTGCAGATAAAGTCTCTGTTAAAAACACAGCAGCTGAGAAGTTGGCAATATGCAATAATTGCTGGGGTGAATGGATGGCTAGATCTCCGTCTGTCGCAGAAAAAAACAGTAGAGCCTTGCAGCATCTTAAAGTCTAATTTTATTTATTTTAGTATCGCTTAATAAGCATGGTAGCATGCAATTATAATTTGCTCCACACTGATGTCAAATAAGCAAACAAGAGTATTGGGAAGGCGTAGCGACTGCCTGCAAAATAGGATCCCCATCAGCTTACTGTGGTAGAAAAAAATGCATCCGATCTCATTAAGTTCAACAAAAAATATAGTATTCCAAGTTCTTTGGGGGATCAGATTCGCTTCAGCCGCTTTGCCAAGAGAGCACGAGGAATCGTTGGCCGTGGGAGCTTCCAAGACCTGCCACTGACCCCTTTAGATCTGACCGATGCACCTGTGTTGATCCAGCATTTTGAGCCTTGTTCTGGGGGCGGGGGAAGCGGGACTGCTTTATCTCTTCCGAGATAGCTTTCTACATCCTAGGTGGTCCTCCCATTCAGGAAAAAGTTCCCAGGGCTGGCCTGAAGTTCTCTGGGAAGCTTCGAAACAAGAAATGAAAGTCAACAATCCTCTGATATCGCTGCCTCCCCCCGCACCTACTGGTGTTCAGCGGGACACGTGGGGGCTCCATTTCACAGAGTTGGAAGGGTCCACAAGGGTACAACCACCTGCGATGCAGAGATCTTTCACCCCAATTTGTCTGTTACAGGGAATAGCCGATGGTAGACATGCCCGGCACGACTTTATTATTCATTCTTTTGAAAAAGAGAAAAGAGGCATCTTCGAAGAGAGTCGCTCACCTAAGGTGACTGCAAACCGCACAATAATAGCTCCACCCGCTGATTCCACCCTCTGTGAATGGCGCATTGTGTTGGGTTTTGTTTTCCCCCTTTTCCTGGCCAATTGGCAACCCTAAACCAGAATGGATAATTCTGGGCTGAAGAGACGAGGAGAGTCGAGCGCTCTTCATTACACGATGGTTTTGATGCTGTTGATATTGGGGGGGGGGGAGGGGAATCAATCTGCGGCCCGAGGAGAAAAACGAGTATTTAGTTTTTAAATGAACGTAATCGGTGACTGCAGCTTCTCCATATGGCTCCTCTTCTGCCTTATCCGGTTCCGTGACTTTGATCTGGCTTGTCGGCGGCCATCTTGTCGGCCCCAGAGACGCCTATTGTGCGCGACATTTTGCCGACGCGGCCTATGGAGCGGCCTGGTCGCAGGCGCCTTCGCTAGAGTAGTTGCGGGAGAGGGAGGCCGAGAAGCGCCGTTTCCAGCGGGAGGGAGGCCCCTTTCGTCGCCTCGCCTAGGGGCTGAGGCTCCGCGGCCCTCCCCGAATGGGCGATGAGGGTCAGGCGGAGGCGCAGCGTCGCTCGGCCGCTGCCCTGAACCCAATAAAGCTGATGGGCCGATCCATCATCCGCCAGCGCCGCGCCGCGCGGGCCCTTCCGGTCGGGGCCTCTGCGCCGTCGAGGCTTCGCTTTGCTCGGGGGAAATCAAGCCGGCCTCTCGCCCCCCAGGGGAGGCTGCCGAAGGGGCTCCACCGGCGCAGCCTGCGGTGGGGGAGACGCTATGGGGACGGAGGGGTGGGCAGCTTTTCAACCATCCCTGTTGACGCGCCATTAAGAGCAGCTTGATCAGAAGCAGCAGAGGGTGAAACCGCATGGACTCAGGATTCACGCTGGCCTGAAAGAGATAAAGTCGCTTTAGGAAATAGCTGGGACTTGGGAGACATGGCTTTGGGTTGTGCGGGGAGAAATGGAGAAACCTACGTGGTCTGGGCCTGAACAGTGAATATAGAGGAGAACAGAAGGGATATATCACCGACCATCTTTGCTGATAGCCTCTTGCATTTAGAAGAAGAATAATCTTTATTTGCATCAGCTACTAGCCATAGCAATAAAATAAAATGTGCTGAAGAGAGAGGTAAAAGCTATAGAAAATACATTTTGGGAGTTTACATCAATAATCAAATAATAGATCTTATTCTAATTGCCCCTGCTAAAAACCTTGCATTTATTTTAGAGTGACCTAAAATGCTAAACACAGGTGACACATTCCACCCCACCCCCAGCTCCGGCCTCTTTTGCATCGTATTATATATAGGTACAAAGAGTGTTTTTGTATTTATAATTATTTAGGTAGGTAAGGTGCTAAGTGGCCCTTGCCTTTGCACAGCAGCTATCAGGGTGAGAATGTCACCCCAATAATTGTCCACCTATCCTCTCGTTTGATTGGCAGTCCTATGCATTCAGATGAAACTGCAAAGGAGCGGATTGTATGACTTAATAAGTCTCATCGCAATCTACTTTCCGCTTTTCTCCCAAGCACACTTTTATCGCATTATCTGTAGCTGCCCGTTTGCTCCTGGTCCAGGACCGTAATAGTTTACATGCACACACGGGTCCTTGAGTGTGCACCAAAAAGCAGGGTAAACAAAAATAGGCCGCAATCCAGCTTTGCCCATCACTGGAACTTCAGAGGAAACGAGACCCCTTTGATTATTTGTTCTGATGCAGCAATTAAAGAAGATAAGCTATGTTCTATTGGGGGATGGAGGAGAAAGGGGGGAACCATGTGTCGCAAGCTGAAACATTTCCTTGAAGCAATTCCTTTTGTTTTCAGTTGAATTTAGGAGTACTTCAGGTGTACACTCAAAACATTCCCAGACTCCTTCAGTGCTAGGAGAGGCCTGTTTACATCAAATAAATTTAAAACAAGAATCTAAATGCTATGAACTAATCAACACCATGTCACACTAGCAGCCACTGCAAATAAATCAAACGGAGAGTGGGTGACGGATAGCCTGTTAGTCCCTGCAGGAAAAAACGATGATGAGGTATCTACAGTAAAGCTTCAGGCTGCAATCCTGACCTGGGAGCAACCCCACTGAACACAATGAGACTTAGTTTTGCAGTTACTGTATTATCAGTTGGCAGAGCACCCATACTGTACTTACATGTATAGTGGGAAGCTATAAACATAGGTACCAGATGGCCTTGAAATGCAAGAAATGTCTAGCCATTGGTGTCAGTCTAAGACATTTTGCTGCCTGAAGCAGAGAAGCAAAAGTCGTCTCCCACTCAGTCAAGTTAGGGTGCTTAGTAGCCAAGGCCAGTCCAAATTCTCGCCTCAGCCACTGAAAGTCTGATTAGTGTATTGCCTCTTCCCATTGGTTACCCTTTTGTTACAACCCAAATCCTCGCCTCGCTCCAATTAGGACAGACTGCTGTTCAAGATACAGTACAGTACAGCTGAGATGTATGCAAGAGGAAGAGGGCATTCACATTTAACATTTCTCTGTCCCTAACAGCTCAACCGCAGGGAGATAAAGTGGGAGGCTGGGGAGAGCTTCAGTCCTCCCATTTCTCTGTGTGAAACAGGTGCAGTGAAAGAACATGGCATTGTCAGTGACACTGTCCCTCCCTGCAGTGCTTGTGGCCAGGTTTACAAGTGACTCTGAAAATCGGGCCACTTCGTTGGAGAGAGACCATCCTTTGATTACATTATTGCCCTCTCCTGCTTTCTGCCTTCTGCAACATCCCCAGTGTAAAGCAATGCAGATTAAGAAGTGTTCACACATGCCAATATATTCAAATTCCCTTGCAGAAATCCGCTGTTTAAATTATACTGTGGACTTTCAGGATTTTTGTGGACTACGGATACATATAATTCGTACTGAATGGTCTATATCTTCAAGCCTATGTTCACTTTCCAGGAAGCAACTGAACACAGCACCACTTCCTTCCGAGTAAACGTAGGCAGGATTAAGGTGTAAAAAAGAGGGAAACTGCTAAATATTACATAACTTATTTTCTTCTTCAAATAGCAAGGCTTAAGATCATTTTCATACTTCTCCTTGTATATTTCAAAATAATAGTAATAGAAATAGTGTTCCTATTTAAAAGAAGATGAGTATCTGGAAAAGTCATGGCTTGGCAAAATCCGTAGAAGAGAATTGAGCACAGAAAGCAAAGCTGTGTGACCCAGAGCAGCATCCGTAAGCCCTCTAATGGAGGAACAGCAGCCAAATTCACATTGGCAGATGGCAACAACGGTGTGCAAATATTGCATCTTGCAAGTGCTCAACATCTTGCTTTTGACACCTAATTTTTAATCGATGAAAGCGAAGCATGGCTTTGCGTTATGCTGTTTACTGGCAGGTACTTCGATAAATACGGATGTGCTTGCTTGGTTCTCTTCCTTGAAACTGACAGGCATAGATCCCCATTCCACCAACATAGAAATGCCCATCTGCTCTCAAAGATGTTTAGACCAGTGAGTTTAAACAGCTTTTAACCCCCAACTATTTGTACAGTATATGATTGCCATGTTTTCAGCTGGCTTCTGCAGCAATGCCTTTAACGTCTGCTGAACCTGCAGTGTCTCTCCAGAATTTCAGGCGGAATCTCAGCCCAAGTTCTCGCTGGAGATGCGGGGTCTGAACCGAGGACCTTCCGCGAGTGCTCCGACACGGAGCACAGGCTGTTCTCAAGAGCTTTCTAAGGAGAAGCTGCCTTAACTTTCTGCAGCGAAGCAACACAAGAGTCTTGTGGCATCATTCAAGCTAACACATTTATTGGGGCAAAAGCTTTCGCGGACGAGGGTCCATTTCCTTGCTAATCTTTAAGGTACCATAATACTCTGCTGTTCTTGCTGGAATGAATTGGAAACCAGAGGACCACAATCGCCTTTCCTATAATAACCCATTTTGCTGACCACCGTGGTCTCACTTCCTTTCAGCGTGTCGCTTTCATCTGTTGCAAGAACCCCCCAGCAATGCAAATTACACCGGGAGGTCCGGATTGGAAGCCGCCTGCGGCCCTAAGGACGTTTGCAGGGCGGATACGGGCTTCCATGTAACTTCTCAACAGGAATGTCCGTAGGAAGGCTCCCTCCCGACACCACCAGATTTTGCGCCCAGTGCGCGGCGGTGGGGTCGGGTGGGTTGTTGGGCCCAGCCTGCCTGTTCTTCTGAGCAGCAAATAAATCATGGAATTGCAGAGTTGGAAGGGACCTTACGACCATCTAGCCTACCCTCTCCTGGCAATGCAGAAATCTCAACTAAAGCATCCTTGTCAGATGGCCGCCCGAGCTCTGCTTTAGGACCTCAATCGGTTGCGCGTTGCTTCAACGCAAAGCCGTCGAGCCCAGGAGGAGGATTTCAAGTTGGCACAACTTTTCTCCTTACCCTGCTTTCGGTTCCAAGGGTGTTGCGAATGGGAAATGGGGTTTTGCTTGATTCTGATCGTCTTGGTTTTGCTTGCATTTTAATGCCACCCTCTTTAAATAAAGACTCACTTCCATCTTGCTCGCGAGTTTTCTGTGTGGAAATACTTTTTGGAGAGGGGCACATCGCGAGGCCTAAGTGGGGAGGGGCCATAACCATGGGCAAAGCCAGGATTTATGTTGGGGGGAGGCAGGCTCAATGTTAGGGGGCAGAACCTCAGTTAAGTATTTTTATTGATTTTATTGATCTGGGGGTGGGGGGAGCTGCCGCCCTGCCCCCCTTGGCTGTTCCCACCACCGTAGTTCCGTGGGAGCCACTTCGGCTTTGCAGGTTCCAGGTAGGGCTTGGGAGAGACACCCCTTGTCTGATGAAAGCCTGGGATGCCGCTGCCAAGGAAATGATCCAAATGGTTTCGCATCGACCACCTCTGTTTTTCTAGCGAACGCACGCCTCTTGCAATTGCAATGGGGGGCGGGGGAGCCCTACGTGGCTTTTTGCTGACGGATAAGCTGTTAGAGGGGTTGTGTTATGCAATGGAAATTATTCTGCTTGCCTTAGCGAATTTTAAAATCCCGGTCATTATTTCTGAATCTGCACACATGCATGTAAATTAGCGTGTGCAACTTGTGCGCAATTTTGTGCTCCTGGGGGCCCTTGCCCTGGATATTTTGACTTCCCATCTATGGACACCCCTTGGAACGAATCCTCTTTTGTTCCCCAGGAAGGGCTTCTGATATCTCACATTCTGTGCGCAGAATTTCAGAGAAATCGCCGCTTGCACGACCTTTCGGAAAACACTTTTTGGAATTTTAGCAACGAAACTGTCAACAGCTTAAACACTCTTCCGAAAACGTGGGCAAAACCATGTAGATGTCCCTTTAAGCTCATTCCCCGTGGCTATTCCCATCCCCCCCTTCGATTTAATTTCATTAAAACGGAGCATGAATATTTCTATTAAACCTAAAATGAAATATGAAGCCATTTAGACTTTGCCTGCACCAATCATCCAGATTTATGACTTTTATTCATCACATCAGGAGCTGGGGGGTGAAAATGAATTTTCTTCACCCAGGAAGGAAATAAAAACCCAGCCTCGGTCATTTCCAGAAAGCTGTTAATTTGCCCGTGTGGTAATTACTTTCACAATTAACTAAAATACAAATCAACTTGACAAATTGGGTTAGTTTAGATATTAATTAGCCCTCTTAAATTTATTCATTATGAAAAGACAATTTAAGAGGACCCCGGGTGTCTGTTTTATTGCAATAAATTATGGGTAGGAAATGGGGCTCTAATAAAAGAGCAACGCGCGGCGAAGCGGGGCCCCGTGGAAACCTCTGGAGGAGGGGCTCTTGCGCTTTCACCCGCTCCACTTTGCAATTGACAAGGCCCGGCGCATTGTTGCAGCTCCGGCTCCTGCGCTTGGAGACATGCAAGATTCCACCGACGAGGTGTTTGCCTGTGAAAACGTCCCTTTAGAAAGGTTGGGCGTGAAAGGGCGGGTGGGAAAGCATTGATTACACGTGTCAAAATAATAAAAGCGGGAGAGAGCGCTAATGGGGGAGGCAGCATCCTCGGATTGGGTCTCAGCGCCACCCAAGATGAGTAGCCAAAGCGCCCTTCCTTCTCCTTCCCTCCCTCCCGCGCCAAGTTAGATCTTTCTGATTTAACACCATGTCGATAGAATCATTCCATGCCTTTTAGCTTGTGATCTTTATAAATGTCCCTCTATTAAATTAGAAAATGATTCTCTGCTCGTTTAATTGTATTCTTTCGTTTTCTTATTTCCAATTAATTAGTCCTATCGACGTTGCAGTATTTTAAACGACTGGAGTCCGTTTGCAATCTTAAAATATATGGGTCAGCACACGTAATTTGGTGCTAGACAGAACTATATAATGTGGGTTTTAACTACTGTTCTCTCATTCGTCTTCAACGGCTGTTTGAAGGCATCAAAGTCTTTATGGGGGGGGGCGATGAGAGCTGTCTTTTCCAGCACCCTTCGAACGAGTGGTTTTGAGATATAATACATTTTTTGGCCATACATCTACTGGGGGGGGGGGAAGGAATGGAGGTGGGGGAGGAAGCAGTTTTCAAAAGGGTGAAAGGGGAAAAAAACCACCCACTGCTACGTGCTTCTTACAATCTGTATGTAAAGTAGGAAGAAATGACACCATTGAGTAGGATAGTCTAGTTCACTTCTTGAAAGTCTTGTTTTAAAAACACAATGAAATCCTGATAGGCAGATACTAATATTAAGCAACGGCCGATCTGGCAAAAAAACACCCTACTGAATAAGGGACTGGGAGTGTCGGGGAAATTTATATTCAATGCATTGTTTACTGAATATACATGCATTGGCTTGCAGGTTTTACACCGGTATAAGTATGAGAACACAAATATGCTGGAATACATACATGACAGCCGCCCAGAGTAGCTGGGGAAACCCAGCCAGATGGGCGGGGAATAATAATAATAATAATAATAATAATAATAATAATATTTCTGTACACGCATGTCATCTAGCAATTTGTATATACTTCTTTTTACATGTTTAAGCTATGTGTTGTGCTCCTGTCTTCCCAGCAAAAGGATTCCTCTGATTTCATGGGAACCCTGACTTCCGTGTAAGCGGCTCAAAAACACACACCTGTGGATACAAGTTCAATTATTTTCAATACTGTCAAATAAATTTATTTAGGGACTGGGTGGAATGATAACTTTGTGCGTTAATGGTTTAAATATCCCGTTTGGTCGTAACGTCCTTTCCACTGGGAGTTTCAAGCTGATTCTTTTATCCCCCGATTTTAAATGGTAATTACTTGCAAGTAAACGCCATGGATTTGGAAATAAGCTCCATAGATTTCAGCGTGACTCACGTCCAAATTAAAGATGGTTGGGTCTGAATCTGAAAAAGCATCTGTTTAAGACTGCGATTCTATACACAGTTACCTGGGAGTAAGCCTCGGTGACTTCAACGGGGCTTCCTTCTGAGTAGATACGCACAAGGCTGCGCTGTAAAGGAGGCTTGCGTTCACTTCTGAGTACTGAACTGTATGCCGGAGACTTTGATTTTAAAAAGCAGAGAGGATCCTATTATATTTAAAGGTTGAGCACAGAGAGACTGACCAGCGCGTTTGTCAGGAAGAATTAATTGGGGAAAGGGCGACAATCTTGTCTTGTTCCAAATGCGCTTCTATCCTGATTTCTGGGGAAACAATCGTCTTGAAAGCTGTGCCACAAGCGAGGACCCGTTTTCCTGAAGAAAAGCTCAAACGACGAAAAAGAGCAACGTGCCGTTTCGATACCAATCCGATCCAATTGGCTGCTGTGACCTTTTAATTAAAAAGAAAAAAAAAACCTGCTATCGCGAGGAGGCAAAGAGAATCCCAAATTTGACAAGGCGCCTTTTTGCAGGCAGGGAAAAAAACCCCATCAAACCTACCACATTTTAAAAACACTCATAAAAAACAACCGAGTTTAGATCCCAATTAACCTAACGTAGCTGTTTACAATGAAAGGAAAGGAAGAACCCATTCCTGTAAACTCGACGGAGGTCAAAGGGGCCTTATGATTTTTGAGGAATTATTCAGTCATTCAGACACATGAGATTCTAGGATGCCGTTCAAAATGTTTAGGGCACAATGTGGGAGGGGACTATGTTATTTTAAGTTCCTGTATTTCAGTGGCAGAGATTTAAGCCAATGCTTAAATCAGGGGTGGGGTGTTGGCGTTTTGGAGTTATTTTAACTCAGCAGAAGTTGAACTTAAAACTGAATCCCCGTTGGAGAAGCACACTGAAACTCTTGAGCATGGGAAAATGAAAAAGCCACTACATGCTTGATAGGAAATACCCTAGTTCTGTCTAACGACGTAAAGTAAAGGTAAAGGGACCCCTGACCATTAGGTCCAGTCGTGGCCGACTCTGGGGTTGCAGCGCTCATCTCGCTTTACTGGCCGAGGGAGCCAGCATACAGCTTCCGGGTCATGTGGCCAGCATGACTAAGCCGCTTCTGGCGAACCAGAGCAGCACACGGAAACGCCATAAAGTAGAGATACCCTAAGCTGTGCTGGTCTTTGCATCTCAGCAGAAGAGTTGGTGCTCATCTCGCTTTACAGGCCGAGGGAGCCGGCGTTTGTCCACGGACAGTTTTTCCAGGTCATGTGGCCAGCATGACTAAGCCGTTTCTGGCACAATGGAACATGGAAACCAGAGCAGCGCACGGAAACGCTGTTTACCTTCCCGCTGGAGTGGTACCTATCTACTTGCACTTTTTGGGTGCTTTCAAAATACTAGGTTGGCAGGAGCTGGGACCGAGCAATGGGAGCGCACCCTGTCTCGGGGATTTGAACCGCCGACTTCCTGATCAGCAAGCCTGAGAGACTCAGTGGTTTAGACCACAGAGCCACCGGCATCCCACATGCAATTTAGGAAGCCTCAAATGGCTGAATGACCATAGCAGATACCCAAAGAGAACACAAGTTAGTGAGTATATTAGAGACCCGAAAGAACAATAGTAAATCACTGGGATGCTGTTCTCCCAGGATAGAAACTCTATGCAAGTGACAGGTCATAGGAGTTGGCTCCTATGTGATGTGAGGAGGTGAAGATGCAGTATGTGACGATGAGAGCAAAAGACATCCCATACATTGGATGTCTTTTGATGAAACACATATCCCCAGAAGCACCATCCATCGACATCCCAACTCATTGAGCTGGAATATCATAGGAAGACTGTGCAGCTGTAGCACATGTATTCTGGTTAGGGTCAGAGGAATTCTTGCGGTGGACTCTAATCTGTAACACACGTGTGCTTGTCAGGGGCCAGTCATGTCATCAAGGTGAATCCACATGGTCAGGGAAAAAAATGCATGATAAAATTGTTCTATTAATATATTGCTTAAGCATACTGAATGCTTTCCCACATTAAAAAAATCCTTAGCCCAAGAAAGCTAGTTGGTTAGAAACAATGACTGTTGTCCTGGTGTGCTGACTTTCTATGTACTTGGCCATTTTAGTAGTGACATCATTTATGACCATTTAGTTGAATGAGATCTATGTTGCTAGAGAGTTCCCAGAACCATTTCACACATGATCACAGGGACAACTCTGGCTTTGCCACCTACTGTGCATTCAGCATTAAGCTTTGACGATCCACTGCTCTCTGCTGAGAGTTCCCATGATACGTGTTTCACCTGAAAATGCACCTAAATATGTAATATGTGGCTGCCTTTGGTGTAATTCAGTTTTGCTTAGTCTCTTTCTCCGTTTGCACTCTGCTAGCTAGATTCATGGGACGCTGGTGGCGCTGCGGTCTAAACCACTGAGCCTCTTGGGCTTACCGATCAGGAGGTCGGCGGTTCGAATCCCCACGAGGGGGTGAGCTCCCGTTGCTTGGTCCCTGCTCCTGCCAACCTAGCAGTTCGAAAGCACGTCAAAGTGCAAGTAGATAAATAGGTACCGCTCCGGCGGGAAGGTAAACAGCGTTTCCATGCGCTGCTCTGGTTTCGCCAGAAGTGGCTTAGTCCTGCTGGCCACATGACCTGGAAAAACTGTCTGCGGACAAACATCGGCTCCCTAGGCCAGTAAAGCGAGATGAGCACCACAACCCCAGAGTCGTTCACGACTGGACTTAACTGTCAGGGGTCCTTTACCTTTTAGCTAGATTCATATCATGCCAAACACCAAGGACACAAAGCAGGCAGCAGTACGCACACAGATAAAAATGAAGATCATTAACTGCTCCACAAATCGTCAACCTAAGAAAGGAATGTGGGGTAGGAAAAAACCCCCACAACCTTTAACACTGAAATTCTAAACATGTCTGCTGACTTACTCTCAGCTAAGCACAAATAAGATTTTAGGCTATCTCTCTCTCTCTGACTCCCCTCTACCTACCCCAAATCTCTTATGCTCAAATTATGTTCTCTTCTAAAGCATCAAGATGCGCCACCCACTTCCCATGCAGAGCAGACGTCTCTCTAAAACTGAGAAGTAAAACAGACTGTTTCCAATGCAGAAAGTCTTAGAGAGTTGATTTATTTCACAGGATTCTTCTGGCACCTGCCACTTAATTTTGTCTCTTTCACTCTTTCAGAATGGTGGTGAGGGGGTCATTTTCTGGCTGCCAATTATATAGGGTGCCATGATTTCGTGAGATTTATAATCAAATATGATTCGCTCCATTCTCACAAGAAAAGCATGCAAATAAGTATCTTTGAATTTAATGCAACTCCCCATGGGATTTATTTATTTTTTTCATGCATATTTTTTTAAAAAAAATATTTTATTAAGGATTTTCTTGTTTTACAGAAGTGTAAAGTGCCTCGTATTTTTTTTTCCATGTAACATTTTTACAAATCCGTTTCATTTGTTGAGGCATTAGGGGGAGAAGAAAAAAGAAAGAAAAAAGAAAGGGGAGGGTGGAGAGAGGGAAGATGGATAGGGGTGGGGTCGGGTGGCGGTGTTTCTATTATGTTTAATGTATGGAGAGTTTGGTGTCAGCGTTGCTTGTGTTGTTCACTTGTGTTCCTTTGGTGGTGAGAGAGGTTGGGGTTGGCCTAGGGTGTGATTGTTTGCTTGTGATTGGCTGTGGTGATCTTTGTTTTCGTGTGTGAGTGAGGTGGGTGGGTGTTTTGGATCAGGTTAGCCATATTGATTTGTATGCTGTTGGTGGATTATTGTAATTGTCCTGTTGGGCTGTGTATGTGATAAAGGGGAGCCATACTGGGGTGAAGGTGTCTTCTTCTGTTTGTCCCCATGTCAGTTTCAGTTTATTAGTTAATTTTTCTAGTAGGGCTGTTTCCCATACTATTTGGTACCATTGGTCCATGCTTACTCCTGACAGGTCTCTCCAGTGTCTGGTTATGGTGTTTCTGGCTGCTGAGAGCAGGTGGGTTATGAGTTCTTTGTGGTGTAAATGGGCATTGTTGTCTTGGAAGATGTTTAGTAGGGCCAATTCTGGGGTGATGTCCCCATGGGATTTATTTTAAGCATGCACTTAAATGTTCAATAACGTGTGTGAAGTGCATTGAACACTATAAAAGTGCTACAGAAATGCTAGGTATTATTATTCTTCTTCTTGGCAAATGTAGGAATGAATTGTCACATTGTGCTCTGTTTCTCCCCCACGGATCAATGCAACAAGTGTCACGGCACCTTAAATCTAACTTTTATTGTGGCAGAAGATTTTCTGGGCTAAAACCCACTTTTTCATATGTACAAAGTATTAACTTTTGTTAGAAGATATATACACACATGCACTGGCAAATGAAAAATATATAAATGTAAACAGAAAAGTCAAAAGACCATGAAATTTGTCGTTATGTGAAATTTCTGCAAAGAGCTCACACTCAAGGTGGGAAAAGACCGATCCATTCATAACTGTGGTTGTGATAATACTGTATTTCTAGTTATGCTATGTATATTAACACCTGTAGTAGGAAAGAAGCCTGTTGCTCTGATTAAGCATAAGATTTGCTTATAAATTCTAGTTCAGTCAAATTGAGTCTATTCATTTCTCTCTCTCTTTTTTTAGCAGCCTTTACTGGTTCCCATCTGTTAATATTTGGTCCGGTTGAAAACTTAGGATTCTTAAGACATGGGCACAGATCCTTAGACTCATAAATGAATAGACTACCATACAGTGCTTTTTGTGTGGTGAAAATCTGAGATGCCTCTACTCATATCTTGATAAAAGGGCTGTAGGTGTCAGCACAAAATGGCTGCCATGGGCAGCAAAAGAGGCGATGATAGAGTTCATGGCATTGAGTACAGTCACAAAACAAGCACAGCCATTATGACATAGCACAATTGGGTTAGGCTACAGTTTGAGGCCTAATATGGTCATCTCTCACTACAGAAGTGATCAATAACCAAGGAAGGGGCAGTTTAATTGTCCTAATTTCGCTGCTCAGACATCATTCTGCTGAGGGCTGGAGGTTGACACTGCTGGATAGGAAACAATATTTAATAGGTGGAGGAGCAGCTGGCCTGCTAATATAGCAATAGATAATAGGTGGCGAGTTCACAGGAGCATATGATGGGAAATATATTGATAATGCCATTTTTCTTAAACTTTTGAAAATGTATGTAATGAATGTAATTTCGGGTTGAAAATTAATTTAAGGTATAAGAATCATTGGATTCAAACTCATGCTTTTTCCGCCCTAATGGCACTCGGTGCTAATAATATCTGTCTAGCCAGCTAAAGAGGTTTTAAAAGAGTAGGCCATTAGAGTAGCCATCTGACCTTGATTAAAACTGCATTAACCTTTACATTAAAATGCATTTAAAATGCAGACATGCTGAAAATATCAAACACAAATAACATAAATCTCAGAGATTCTGCGGCTTTACTAGCTTATTTGTGTGAACGGCAGCAATTTGTTGCCGTGACATCTACAATTTCCCAGGGAGGAGGTAGCATTTTAGTCGCATTAATTTCCGTGCTGTGAGTTGGCATTGCTCTGGATGGTAATTGGGAGGAAGCAACGGAATTAATGGCCATTCCGATGAAGTTTCACAGGACACAATCTTTGCTGGAGATGGTCCGGAAGATCGTTTAAAGTTCATTTTAATACTTTCCAAGTCAGTGGCATCATTTTGAAGGGCAAATCCCAGTTGTCAGGGTCTAAAATTATATAAGGTTGGACTGTAATGGTGTATCACAGGTTTAACACACATAAGGTCTCAAATTCAACCCCCAGGATCTCTAGTTGGACAGACAACCCTGCCTGAAACTCTGGAAAGCCATTGCCAGTTGCCAGGGAATGGTCTGAATCAGAGGATTGGGAAATACATTCTCAGCCAAATCAGCTCCTCTTTGAAGGAGAAGGTGGAAGAGGGGGAAGATCCAGCAGTTTCAGAAGCAGAGGGAGACACAAACACTGAGCAGCTTAGACAGGAGTTGCCTAGCTAAGAGATAGTGGACAAGGAAACAGAAGGGAGGGAACAGCCAGCAGAGATGTCATTAGAGTTTTGTGGGGCCCTCCCTCCGCAAGAACTAGGATGTTGTGGGAGACGGAAGGGGGAGGATTTAGAGTAGCCAAATGCTCTCCTTGTGGAGAGCTGTGGATTTTTGCTTGCAACCAGATGATTGGATAAAAAGGACTATAAAATGTAAACTGCTTGTTAATTCTTATCTGTGAAGTTACCGAAGGGAGGGTAGGACTCTCCACGCCTCTCCACCAGTCAGCACAGTCGGTATGGAGATGGACAGACCAAATGGTCTGACTTGGTATAAAGTATCTTCCTGTTTGCCTAGTCGCACCACTACCTTTCATTCTGGAGCCCAAGGACAAGTGGCAATTGGAGCTGAGTATTCTTTCTCCCTGCAGCTGCTCTTCCATTGGCCAATGGATGGGACCAGGTAGGTCTTCTGGTTGCTGTGATGTTCTCCCTGGGAGGTAGGAGGTGCAGCCATGTACCCAGTGACCCTTATTCCCTGATGGCAGAGGCAGCTTTCCTTCAGGGGCGACAAACGCATCATGCTATTTATTGTAAAGAATTGGAAGTGATGTAACTCTATGTTGGCTCTCACAAGCAGAAGGTGAGGGTGCTACAACTGTGACTGGGCTGCACCACTTCAGGTGGGAAGTCGTGCAATGGACTGCTCCTCCATACAAAGAGGCGTGTATGACTGATGCCACAAGCAACTCTGAGTTCATACCATTCACCTGGCTGGCATATTTGCACAGGTTTGGCGCTGTGTTCACTCAGGTCAGCTCCTTGGAAATGTTATCTCAGCATAAATATCTCAGTCTCCTTTTAAAGAACTCTAAGCTGCTGAATTACAGAGTGTGATTAGCATAATGAAGGGAAAGACAATATTGACATTTCCTATGTCTGCACTCAGATAATGCTATATGAAAAGAGATATCTGAAATGCTAATGGAAATGTAATTGATGTAGCCTGGGCACTTACATTACCACCCACTGGAAAGGTTAGGAGCAAGCTTGTGAGGTAGATAAGATTAAAAAGCATTACTATTGCATTAACGCAAAACATATTTAGATTGCCAAATTTGGTGTGAGATGGGGTGCTAAGAATTGCTTTCTGAATCGGAGGCCTTCAGCAGGGAAATGGTGCTCTGTGAATGAGGCTAACGCTATGACTTGCAGAGGGCTGTACTATTTTGGAGATTTGTTTTAGAAAAGAGAAGGAGAAAGAGAGAGAAATAAGGAAGTTGAGCAGAAAAGGAGAAGAAACACCAACCGTGCCAATTTATGCTGAGCCGGGTATCTCTAAGGCAAGTTTGTAGGAGTGGCAAAGCACATCCTGAGCATGTGTAGAGTGCATTTCACAATTGAGGGGAGCCTAGGAAGCTACATTAAGTTATACCAGTCAGCCACTATTGGTCCACCTAGCCCAGGATGAGGTCATTCTGACTGACAGCTGGTCTCCAGGGTCTCAGACAGAGACAAAGTTCTTCCTTGTCATCTGTTACCTGATCTTTTAACTGGGGAGGCCCAAAATAATACCAACAGGGGGGATATAAATGCAGTAAACAATCATAAAGTTATAATCATGGGTCTCCCAATGTCAGGTCTTATTTGACTCTCAACAGCTGCTACCCCTCACTCAATAATCACCCACCTACTCAACCTGTACGGTAACATGACAATTAGGTTCAGAGGCAAAAATGCCATTCATGAAAATTGCTGGGCAGGGACTGAATCTACAAGCCAGATTCAAAGGTTATATGGGTCGCATTGCCATGTAGGTCACCATTTTCCCACCCATGCGTAAAAGCATTGTTCTTCAACCTTGGGTTGCCAGATGTGGTTGGATGACAACTCCCATCATCCATGGTCAGCTTAACCAATGGTCAGGGCTGATGGGAGTTGTAGTCCAATAATGTCTGGGCACCCAAGACTGAAGAACACTGCTTATAGAGTAAAGGTAAAGGGACCCCTGACCGTTAAGTCCAGTTGCGGACGACTCTGGGGTTGCGGCGCTCATCTCGCTCTATAGGCCGAGGAAGCCGACGTTTGTCCGCAGACAGCTTCCGGGTCATGTGGCCAGCAAGACTAAACCACTTCTGGCGAACCAGAGCAGCGCACGGAAACGCCGTTTACCTTCCCGCTGTATCGGTACCTATTTATCTACTTAAACTTGACGTGCTTTCAAACTGCTAGGTGGGCAGGAGCAGGGACCGAGCAATGGGAGCTTGCCCCGTCGCGGGGATTCGAACTGCCGACCTTGTGATCAGCAAGCCCTAGGCTCTGTGGTTTAGACCACAGCACCACCTGCATCCCATGCTTATAGAGTAGTTCTGTTCTAATTCTTACTGCCTGGTTCAGAGTACTGGCATTTCATTTAAAAATAAATAGGATTGGCTTCCTTTTTCTTGATGCACCTAAACACACTATCAGCCAAGGTTGTTTATTCCCACTGGCAACCAGGCTATTGTTTCAAAGGATGGCAGAGATCCAGTGTTCTCTTGGTTCACAGTGCAGCTCCAGACCAATCAACCTTAAGTTGTTTAAGGCTGCTGTGTACTTTAAGTGTCTATAAATCAGCCTAATGAATAAAACAGCACATGCAGAAATTCATTACATATTGGATACACTGGGGTGCGATTTTATAATTTGATGCATGCTTGTTTTGCAGCATAACATCCAGCATATGGAGGCAAAATTACAAAAGGCTGACATTTCTTTCCCTGTAAGTGGAAGGCATTTCCAAAATAAATGAAAGGAGAAAACCCAGCTAAATGTTTTATTATAATAATGTTACTTGAGGCCAGAAGTTCAATAAGGAGGATTTATAAACGTATCATTCCAGCTCTTGGAAGGATTTCAACATAATTTGCTCGTGGCGTAGCAAAGTGAGGTGAAATCCATCTATGGTCCTTGCAGAGCAATAAATACACAAAAATGTCTATTTAGATTTGCCATTTGAGTTTACTGTGTCACACACACAAAAATTGCTCTAGATCATCCCGACCAAATATTTCTGACTCTTGGGCCAGTAAGGAATCATTTACAGTGTGCGTTTTTAAAGTAACGAATGCCACTTTAACTGTAAGCACAGTGTTCATGTATGCTTGCAAAAAAAAACCTGGTCCTTGTAAATCCCTGCACTCAAATTGGTCTACTTCGATGTGTAAGGACTACCAATGTGATGGATGGTTTGCAGAGCTGGGCTCCAAGGTTTTCACCCTCCACAATAATGTTGCGTACCCTTTTAGGCTGAGTTGACAGTGTAAATACATTACAATAATGGAGGCTTCATTTGATGCCCATTTGTAAAGGCACATAGATTTTTCAGTTTATCCAGGTAATTAGGTTTCTCTATTTTCTTCCCTTCTTTCTGCTGTGAGACCACAATCATTTTATTTACAACCTGAAGCATCCTTACAACAACCATCTGCTGCTGATAAATTTCAACACATAATATGGTAATTCAGACAAACAACAATTTGTTTCAGTAATATGAATAATAAAACTGCATTTCAAATTCTTATTTTTTAATTTCTTTTTATTAATTTTCATTTACAAAAACCAAAAGTAAACAAATCAATAATACCCACACAACAATAAACAACAAAAAGATAATATAGTTTCCGTTACAATCCTTCATCATCTTATTTGTATCCCTCCTATATGTACATGTTGACCTCCCCCGATTTCGGGGTTCATGGTAAAGCTTCTTTTTTTTTTTGCAAAAACTGCATTTCGAATTCTTTACAAGGTTAACTAACAATGCTTCACTTGTATCAGCAATTCTAAAAATCAGATAATCATGTGCTTGACTCTACAGCTTTTCGTATAGGATTTTTACCTGTTAGGTTTACAAACCATAAATTTGCCTTTGTCAAATGAAGCAGGTCATATCCGTCAACATTTCTCCACTGAAAATATCCTGTCAACTGCCCCTGAGACCTGTGGGTATAGGGCGGTATATAAATTCATCAAAAACAGGGAGATCCTATTTCTTCATCATCATCATCATCATTTTATTATTTATACTCCATCCATCTGACTGGGTTGCCCCAGTCACTCTGGAAGGCTTCCAACACATATAAAAACATAATAAAACTATACAGGGCTGTCTTTAGGTGTCATAGAATCATAGAATCATAGAGTTGGAAGAGACCACAAGGGCCATCGAGTCCAACCCCCTGCCAAGCAGGAAACACCATCAGAGCACTCCTGACATATGGTTGTCAAGCCTCTGCTTAAAGACCTCCAAAGAAGGAGACTCCACCACACTCCTTGGCAGCAAATTCCACTGTCGAACAGCTCTTACTGTCAGGAAGTTCTTCCTAATGTTTAGGTGGAATCTTCTTTCTTGTAGTTTGGATCCATTGCTCCGTGTCCGCTTCTCTGGAGCAGCAGAAAACAACCTTTCTCCCTCCTCTATGTGACATCCTTTTATATATTTGAACATGGCTATCATATCACCCCTTAACCTCCTCTTCTCCAGGCTAAACATGCCCAGCTCTCTTAGCCGTTCCTCATAAGGCATCGTTTCCAGGCCTTTGACCATTTTGGTTGCCCTCCTCTGGACACGTTCCAGTTTGTCAATGTCCTTCTTGAAGTGTGGTGCCCAGAACTGGACACAGTACTCCAGGTGAGGTCTGACCAGAGCAGAATACAGTGGCACTATTACTTCCCTTGATCTAGATGCTATACTCCTATTGATGCAGCCCAGAATTGCATTGGCTTTTTAGCTGCCGCGTCACACTGTTGGCTCATGTGAAGTTTGTGGTCAACCAAGACTCCTAGATCCTTTTCACATGTACTGCTCTCAAGCCAGGTGTCCCCCATCTTGTATTTGTGCCTCTCATTTTTTTGCCCAAGTGCAATACTTTACATTTCTCCCTGTTAAAATTCATCTTGTTTGTTTTGGCCCAGTTCTCTAATCTGTCAAGGTCGTTTTGAAGTGTGATCCTGTCCTCTGGGGTGTTAGCCACCCTCCCAATTTGGTGTCATCTGCAAATTTGATCAGGATGCCCTTGAGTCCATCACCCAAGTCGTTGATAAAGATGTTGAATAAGACCGGGCCCAAGACAGAACCCTGTGGCACCCCACTAGTCACTCTTCTCCAGGATGAAGAGGAACCATTGATGAGCACCCTTTGGGTTCGGTCAGTCAGCCAGTTACAAATCCACTGAGTGGTAGCATAGTCAAGACCACATTTTACCAGCTTCTTTACAAGAATATCATGAGGCACCTTGTCAAATGCCTTGCTGAAATCAAGGTAGGCTACATCCACTGCGTTCCCTTCATCCACCAGGCTTGTAATTCTGTCAAAAAACGAGATCAGGTTAGTCTGACATGACTTA